GCACCGAGATCCAGAATCACACTGTCAGTGGGACTGGCTGTTTTAAAACGTCTGAGCACTGATAAACACCAGGAAAGGATGGGCTGGTTAGCCATTCGCCAGTGGTAATGACACATCAAGTGAAAGTGGATAACTTTTTTTCTTTTTTTTGGGTCACACCCGGTGATGCACAGGGGTTAGTCCTGGCTCTGCACTCAGGAATTACTCCTGGTAGTGCTCGGGGGACCATATGGGATGCTGGGAATCAAACCTGGGTTGGCCGTGTGCAAGGCAAATGCCCTACCTGCTGTACTATCACTCCAGCCCCAGAAATGGATGATTTTTAGGTTTGGGGGCTTTATGAGCAGTGCTCAGGGCTTACTCCTGGCTTGGTGCTCAGGGAATCACTCCCACCCCTCCTAACAGGGGTATTATGCAGTTTCAGGGATTGAACTGAGCCTGGCTGTGTGCAAAGCAAAAGCTGTATCCCGTGTGATGTTTCTGGCCTCATCAGCTGATTATAATAATTATTATTTTTTGACTACCCCCGGAGAGTTACTCGTGGCTCTGCACTCAGGAATTACTCCTGGTGGTGCTCAGGAGACCATACAGGATATGCTGGGCATGAACCCGGGTCGGCCGCATGCAAGGCAAGCGCCTTACCCGTTGTACTATCGCTCAAGCCCACAAGCTGATTCTTCTTTTAGCATCTCCCGGATCACACAAAAGGGGCCTGGATGCCAAGTCAAGTTTCCGGATGTCCTGAAGTCAGACTAGATTTTTTAAAAAAAGTTCCAAGAGAGGGAAATGTTGAGAAGCTCTACTTCCGCTCTGCCAGCTGAGTCTTTTCTTTTTTTGTTTTGTAGGGAAGCCTTGGCTTGGCTGAACAGCTTCTGAGATTGCTTCGACTCTCCAAGAAGTTCTGAGAGTGAAACAGTAACGGGAGGCTGAGAGGGATCAGAGAAATTCCCCAGCAGGAAGCACATATGGAGGGAAGAATCAGGCCCACAGACTTCCTTTAATTAAATTCCTGTCTAATAAAATATTGTCAGAGGCACACGGCCGCCTCCAAGGGGCTGGAGCGGTTCCTTCTGAGGTCTGGAACTCATTAAAGGCATTTCTTCATGCTCAAAGAATTCCTTGCATTTGTCTCTGGCTCCACAAAAGGCAGTGACAAAAATCAACCCAAATGGGGCCTCCCACGGACATGGTTTGCAAAAGATATTCTAACAAAAGCTATCCAAGGCAGAAGGGCCAGCCTGGCCCGCCCAAACGCACAGATTTCAGTCTCTCGACCGGGTTTGTCTTCTCCCAAGGATCTGGAGAGACTGGTTGCTAAGAGCGGGATTCCCAGTTGATCGAAGCCTTAGAAAAATGGTCACGTGGGTCTTGGGAAAGTGTCTGCAAGTGTGGAAGAACCCCCAGTTTTTAATCCTTTACCTCCCGCACGCTCGGTTCAACTGTATATGAGCCCTCATGGGGTCCAGAGTCTCCAAAAAGGCTGTGTGGATGGGAGTGGGAGAGAGGAAGGGCTGGTTTTCCAGAAGCTCATTGCAGGGAGACCCCCCCAGCATCTAGGAGCTGGTCCCCCCTCCCCCCTCTTCCCCCATCCACAAATGCCCGGGGCTTTCATGAGCACAGGGCAATCTCTGCTAAAGTTACTCGTGCCTGTTCCCAGCATTTCAGGCTGTGTGGCTTCTGAAGCAGTTATACCCCAATCCCCATTTCTCTCTCTTTTAAGCACCATCGTCAGCTCCAACAGGACTGAAACTGGCCTGGAGCCATAAACGGCTGGTTCACAACTTGGCTGGCTCACAACCCAAGGCAAGAGAAAATCTAGGACTAACCCGAAGTGGGGGAAGGCTTGTCTCACCTCCCCGTGAATGAGCCGCTTCTGGAAACACGTCAGCCCAAAGATCACTCAATGAGGAGAAAGTACGAACAAATGGCCAAGTTCTGTCCTGCTCTGGAGGTGGGCTATGCCTCACAATTCACACGGGATGCTGGGTAAGTGCCTAGTTCATTACTGGGTGGCTGTACAATTCGAGATCAAAAAAGAACACACAAAGGAACAAGTCACCTTCACAAATCAACCACGGGACTGGACTCCATTTTTATAGAGCATGTCGAGATCTGAAGAACGAAAGAGAATATGCAAAAACATGTAAGAACTGCAAAAATCCCACAATAGCTACTTTTTTAAAAAAAATGTTATTTTTCCTACTGTTTAGGGACTGAAGGTCTACAAAAAAATCTACAGGATTCCTGGTCTCCACATGACTGACATGATTTGTCCATACAAGAGTCTCAAAAACTAAAATACGAAATCAAAAAGGTCCTATTGCATTAAGACATCACATGAACAAAAAGCCAAGTCTAGACAGCGAACATTCTAGGCTTCGCTTCTTCGTGCAAGAACTGTAGGACAACATGAAGTCTCTGAATTTCACCAGAACAAGGTTTCTTGTTCTTAAAATCAAAGTTCACCCTCGGTGATCTCAAAGGTTCCTTCTATATTTAAAAAATTCTGCGACGCTTTAAAAGGTATAAATCTATAAAGCAAGACAAAAATAGACGACTTCAATGAACAACTTTCAAACAATCCAGTACTCAAGTCTGACACCACCCCCCTGCCATCATGCATTGAATCAAATGAAAAAAAAAAAAACCAAAGGCCCCGAAAATTTGTACCCCCCAAATTGTTGAAGTTTTCAGAAGCTTTCAAGTTAACTTCTAAATGTCGGTGTGGCCAGAGAGGCATGTGGGAGGCTGGAAGTCCATTTCATGCTTCTCTGTGTTATTTCTAGCTGCCAAATTCTACAAGGATTCTTCAGACACTTCTCTGGGAGAAAGTCACAAAGAGTTGAATGACCCCGTAAGGCCACCCATCAAAGCTCACTCTTTGGGACTCTTTCCCCTCACTGTGCAATGACTTCGGATCAAAACATTTCACCCTACAACTTATTAGTATTATTTTTACAAAAAGGCTCAAAGACTAAAAAGTACCAAACATTCATCATTAAGCAAAACATTTCATTTGCACTGTTTTCCCTTCCCGAATCTCTGCCAGAAGCTTCCAATATAGCCAACACATTCCACAAATTCCACTAGATCCTAGAGAAGGCGAAGGCATCGGGTTGAGAAGTGAACCCCTCAGAGCCTTCTTAGCACTCCACCCCAGGGAGTTCCAAATTTCAAGGGTGAGGACCCCTGGGGCGTCACTAAAGACTGAAAATGTCCCAGGGGACCCTAACAGGCCAAGCAGAGGCGGAAAATCCAGGCACGCTTACAAGGAGGCGTTTCCTCTGGAGAGAAGCGTTAGCCCAGGCGGATAAGACATAAGAAGGCAACCCAACCTCTTAGGGAGTTTCCGCGTGCGTGCCCCTGACTTAATGCTCCTGCGTCAACGCTCGAGCTGTCTGCCCATCGCCCAGAGAATGCCAGGGCCTCAGTACTGGCTCCTCAAGCAGCAATTTGCTACACCAACTTCGATCCAAAGCCGGCCAGCGGCGCCGTGGATGGCAGCTCATCTAGCCCGGGGGAGTTTTCTATCCCCAATGCAAGGCAAGTGTGGACAGAAACCCTCCAAGTTCCCGCCAGCCCCAGGAACTTCACCAGCTGTCCTCTGTTGCTGGGGGGCCGTCAGGGATGCGTGGGACTCAAGGCTTCTTTGGCAACAGCCCACCGGGGGGAAGGGCGGCTGCACCCCCAAGGGCACAGACACAGCACCTGGCCACGCCCCCTCCCCATTTACCCCCAGGCCCGGACGCCGAAGAAGCCCTAACAGACTTGATTTTTCCCACGCCTCCCTCTGGTCTGGCAGGCTCTGGTTTCCCTCCACCTTCCACCGAAAAGCCAGCCCCACGTGCAACTCTGGGGACGGGAGGAGGGGGAGGTTCTGGGGCAAAGATTCTAGAAATCACTCATACCCTCTCGCCCAAACAGACACCGGCTCGGAAACGCGCTCTAACAAACGCAGATTAGAAACGAAAGCGACCGTCCACTCACACCAACTCAGAAACCCGGGACCCCACACTCCAGGCGGTCAACTGGGAAGCCTCAACTTCCGGCCCCCCTCCCCTCCCCTCACTCCTCCTCTTCCTCCTCCTCCTCCTCCTCTCGCTCCTGCCCCCTCTGCCTCCTTGGCACTGCAGGGGAACTCAGCACCACGGGGTTCCCGATCACCAGGGCCTGGCTCAGGCCAGGCTTGGCCGTCTCAGCATCTGAGTCGCTGGACTCGGTCCCGCTGCTGGTGGAACCTTCGGTCACCTGCAGGGGTGCCAGCTGGTCCCCTTTGCCACCGGTACCCCGGATGCCCGGCCCGGAGAGGCCCTTCGTGGTGGGGGCCGCACGCGGGGTGCCATTGGCCAGAACCCTGCCTTCAGGAGCGGCCAGGCCACTGGGGGCTGCCTGCCCCCAGCCCTCCCCACCCTCCAGGGCCTCGGACGCCGAGGCCACCAGGCTGAGGATGAGCGGGTCCGTCTCGGACTTGTTGTAGCGGCTGGGGAGGGTCCGTAAGTAAGGCCTGGGCAGGGCTGGAGAGCAGCCGTCCTCCAGTGACCCCGGCTCCCCCACCCCGACCGGCCCCCGCAGGTCCGGCCCGTTCTCCGACCCGTAGCCCTGCGAGCCGGCCTGGTCCCAGCTCAGGTGGGGGCTGGAGCTCCCGCTGCGGGGAGATGAGGGGGTGGCCAGCGCCCCAGGGCTGCCCGCGCCCCGGAACATCTCATCCAGGAGCGAGCTGTGCCTTGGGAGCCCGGGGCTGCCGCTTATCTCAAAGGTCAGGTCGGAATCGTCATCCAGGAACTCTCCGGAGGGAGGCCGGGAGGACCCGGCCGAGGGGGGCCCGGCCCCCCGCCGCCTGGACTCCTCCCGGGACAGCAGGTACACGCCACTGCTCGCGTCCCCCTCGCCAGGCCCGGGGAGCGGGGACGCGCGTCCCCGGAGCCCCTCACTCTCCACGTCACTGCCATCAATGAAAGGGATAGAGCAGGTGCTGCCTGCGGCGGCCGCGGGGGCTGGACCTGTGCTCGGCGGGGTCCGGTCCTGCACGGCCTCCTCCTCTGCCCGGCTGCCCCCCTCGGCCTTTGGAGCGGCCCCCGGGCTCCTGTCCAGGGCGGCGGGGCTGCGGGGGGAGCCGCGCTCGGCTGGGGGCACCAGCAGCTCCTTCCCGGGCGGGCCGCTTGGCTTCTGCGGGCACTCGCTGTCGCCGCGGGGGCTCGGGCTGCCGCTGGGCGCCGGGGCCTGTGTGGGGGGGTGGGGAGAGAGGACCCGTCAGCTGGATGGTGCACAGAGGGGGCTGAATCTAACAGAGGGGCCTCCCGAGCTTCGAGAGACACGGCAGGAAGAGTCTCTGCAGCAGGGCAGAGCACTGCCCAGGGAGCACTGTGACTTTAGAGCCACGTGGGGGGGGGGTTCCCGAGGGAGGCTCTGTCTCTGCCTGACCACCCCCACCCCCATTCCCCACGCTTCTCCAAGGAGAGAGGTTGGGGGAGGGGCGCACATCCAGAACCCCCAAACCCCCACCTCAGCCAGGAGATTTGGACATGGGCAGTGCTGCTGCGGCTGTGTGTGTGTGTAGGGGGTGCGGGGCAGTGTGGGGGACCCAGGCAGGCGTGGGGGGCTATGGCGTGTGACCCCAACCCCCCGCACTCCTGTAACTCTGCACCCCACCCTGCATCCCTGTAACTCTGCACCCACCCCCACACCCTTGTAACTCTGCACCCCATCCCCTGCACCCCTGTAACTCTGAACCTCACCCCCAGCACCCCTGTAACTTTGCACTCACCCCCACACCCCTGTAACTCTGAACCCTGCCTCCTGCACCCCTGTAACTCTACACCCCAGCCCAGTACCCCTGTAACTCTGCACCCTATCCTCCGCACCCCTGTAACTCTGCACCCACCCCCGCACCCCTGTAACTCTGAACCCCACCCTCTGCACTCCTTAACTCTGAACCTTACCCTGCATCCCTATAACTCTACACCCCAGCCGAGCACCCCTGTAATTCTGCACCCACCCCCCACACCTCTGTAACTCTGCACCCTACCTCCCGCACCCCTGTAACTCTGCACTCCACCCCACACCCCTGTAACTCTGCACCCCACCCTGCACCCCTGTAACTAAGCACCTCACCCCCACACCCTCACTGACTTGTTTCGGCACTTCGGAGTTGGCTTCTATGGGCTGCGGAGCCAGGCTGCGGATGGACTGGATCTTACTGTGTTTCCTGGGAGACAGCACAGGAGGCAGTCAGTCAGCCCCGGAGCTTCTTGCTTATTTATCACTATTGTTACAAATTTTCTATTATGGGGCTGAAGTAACGGTTTGCCTTGCACATTGCTGACCCGGTTGGATCCCCAGCTTCCCATATGGTCCCCTGAGCACTGCTGGGAGTGATCCCTAACTTTTCTTCTGCAAAGTTAGTCCAGAACCAGGACTAACCAGGTATGGACTCCCCAAAACCAAACCGAAAAAAGATGCAGGTTGGGGTGGTCCCATTTGCATCAGCAGCAGAAAGCCGCCTGCAGTTGTGGATGACCTGTAACTTACTCTGCAGCCCCCAGGGTTGTGCCAGGGGCGTCTCCAGGCCTGGTTTGGTTCCTCCCCTGCACCCCCAAACCCCATGGAACACCCTGTCTATCAGCTGGGAATGGAACTCTCTCAGATGCACCAGGGGACGGCGAAGATGCTACAATCTAAGTGGGTTTAGATGCACACCCGGGGCTGGAGTGATACTACAGCGGGTAGGGCGTTTGCCTTGCACACGCCGAACCGGGTTCGATCCCTGGCATCCCACATGGTCCCCTGAGCACCGCCAGGAGTAATTCCTAAGTGCAGAGCCAGTAGTAACCCCTGAGCATCTCCGGGTGTGACCCAAAAAGCAAAAAAAGAAAAAACAGACTCACATCTCTGAGCCAGGCACAATTTGATATGATTTTCTTTCTTTCTTTCTTTCTTTTCTTTCTTTCTTTCTTTCTTTCTTTCTTTCTTTCTTTCTTTCTTTCTTTCTTTCTTTCTTTCTTTCTTTCTTTTTCTTGAGGGGGTTTAGGCCCTGGCTGGCAGTGCTCAGGGGTTCAGTTCTAACATTCCCCTGGAGTCAGGCTGGGGCAGGGTGAGCGCCGCCCGTCTCTCCAGCCCTGCTGGTTTGCTTGGAGGCCGCGTGGGACTCAGGCCACCCCCAGGGGTGCCGACTTCCCACATGCCAACCTCGTGCTCAAATCACACCCCATGAACCTCCTCGGTTTGTTTTCTGGGGGGGGGGGCTTCCCCAGGTGGTGCTCAGGACTTACTCTTGAGGCAGTGCTCAAGGGATCACTCGTGGCGGGCGTGGGGGACCATCAGGGGACCCCGGGACTGAACCCTGGCAAATGCCTGGCCCCGTCTGGCCCCTCCTCACTGGCTCAGCTGCGTGAGGTGTAACAGGAGGAACACGGGTGCAGAGGGGACCTGGGCACAGGCCAGGGCTGTGGAGTTCAGGGGACTGAGCCGCATCTGCTCCGAACAATGGGGACACAAAAACAGCCCCGAGCTCAAGGGCAGGGTGGGGACAGGAGCTCTGCACCTAAGCTGCTAGATCCTTCACTCTTAAGCTTCTTGCATTGTTGGGAGCCACACCCAGGCCACACTCCAGGGCTACTCCCAGCTGTTGTTTGGAGTTGCTCCCCATGTCGTTGTGTGTGTGTGTGGTGCCACCCAGGACGGGAAGCCTGAGCTGCAGCCCGTGAGCCACCTCCTGACCCTTCACATCTTCAAGGGCATCAAAACAGAACAAGGAAAACGGTGCTGAGACAGCCCCGGGGACCTCGCCTTAGCCTCTCCTTCATCCCTGCCCGGCATTAGGGCATTTGGGCTGTCCTCAGCCCCTCACCCACCCTCGAGGTCGAGAGTGTCCCCCGCTTAGGGCCAGGGCGATAGTACAACAGGTAGGGGGTTTGCCTTGCCTGCAGCGGACCTTGGTTCGATTCCCAGCATCCCATATGGTCCCCTGAGCAACACCAGGAGTAATTCCTGAGTGCAGAGCCAGGAGTAACCCCTGTGCATCACCGGGTGTGACCCAAAGTAGAAAAAAAAAAAGAGTGTCCCCCCCCCTTTTTGACGTATTCAATATGCCAAACACAGTAACAACAAGTCTCAAAAAAAATGGAGACATTACTGGGACCGCTTGAGCAAATCGATGAACAACGGGAGGACAGTCCTCCCTTTACAGAAGGGGAGCACAGGGCTGGGAGGCCACACGGGGGTCAGGGAGCACAACTGGTCTCCACCCCGCTGGGTCCCCAAAGCATTGTGGGGGCGGCCTGGAAAATACCCCGTCCTGCTGGCCTGCTGGAAGAGGCCGCTGTCAAGGGCATCATGGCATGACCGTAAGCTCTGGGCATGGGAGAGGGCCCCTCCACACTGCCAATATCCCGAATCACTGCTCCGAGGGACACAGACAGGAGAGGAGTGGGTGGGGGTGACCCGGGCTGTACACATGAGGCGCCGGGCTCCACCCCACCAGCGCCAAAGATCTGAAGCTCTTTCTTGCTCTGTTTTGGGGCCACACCCAGCAGGGCTCAGAGCTCACAGCTGTCTCTGCACTCAGCATCAGTCCTGGGGGGCCCGGGGAATGGGTGTGCAAAGCAGCGCCTCCCAATGAACCGCACTGCCCTCCCATAGAAGTGCATGGAATGTAGATACCCGGGCCCCGGAGGACTCAGCTGGTTCTCACAGAGCTCTCGTCCACCCACCCCAGCCCTGCCAGCCACTGCCTCTCCAGTCTCTCTTTCTTTGATTCTCTCTCTCTCTCTCTCTCTCTCTCTCTCTCTCTCTCTCTCCAGTCTTTCTCTCTAGTGTTTCACTCTAGTCTCTCTCACTTTTTTTTTTTTTGATCACACCCGCAATGCACAGGGGTTACTCTTGGCTCTGCACTCAGGAATTACCCCTGGTGGTGCTCAGGGGACCATATGGGATGCTGGGAATTGAACCCGGGTCAGCCGTATGCAAGGCAAACACCCTACCCACTGTGTTACTGCTCCAGCCCCCCCTCACTCACTCTTATCTCTCACTCTCATACTAGTGTCTCTCTCTCTCTCTCTCTCTCTCTCTCTCTCTCTCTCTCTCATTTAATCCCCCATCCCCTCCCACCCCTGGCAGGCCTGTGTGTGGAGAGAAGGTTCTGGAAGCAGCCCCCGCCCTCACCTCTCAAACTGCACTTTCTTGTGGCCTCCTTCTTTGACGAAGTCCAGAACCTGCTTCTGAGTCCGGCCGCTGGAATAAAGAGCAGGAGAGAGAGAGGGGACATGCAGGGCGCCTCCATGGAGCCCCTCAGCCCAGCCTGGGCCCCTCCTCCACCCAGGGCTGGAGAGGCCCAGGACAGCGCCACTTTGTGGCCAGTTCTGGACGGTTCCCTCGTAACCTCATCATGTACAGGGTCCAGCTGGCCACCCCCCTTCACTGTGGCCAGGTCTGTCCATGCGCTTCCCAGAGGCCGGGGAGCTCTCGGGAGGCCACCCAAGGCCTCGGCCCATCCTTGACATGAGAGACGAGGCAGCTATACGTGGGGAGGGCAGGAATTCTGGGCTTTCTGGGCCGCAGAGGGCAGCGAGTGGGAGGGGTCTGCAGCCTTCGGAGCGGCCCCACCCAACCCTTCACTCATGGGAGGCAATGCGGACCCCCTACCTGAAGCGGAATGAGGATCCCCGGCTGAAGAGCACGGGTTTGGGCTTGGGCCGGGGCTCCTCAAACAGCCGGAAGAAGGCGTGGTGCTCCACACAGATCTTCCAGAAGGACTTGCAGAAGTCGCGGCTGGCCATGAGGAACTCCAACGTGTCCTGGTAGGAGCTCTGGGGAGAGACGGCGCCGCCAGCTGGGGTTGGTGTCTCCAGGGCCTCAGGCATGGGGGAGGGGGGGGGGCTCGGACAGTCCCGGGGCCCCACGCCAGGTCCTGCTCCTGGGGGACCAGAAACTCTCCAGGCTGGGCACCAGAGGGGCCTCACACCAGGGGCTTCTACTCACAGGCTTCCTAAGGGAGCTCAGGAAGAACCAGCCCTCAGGGGAGCTCCCGGCGGCCCCAGAGGACACACAACAAGGATGTGTGGTGTGAGGGCGAAGCTGATGCCATGACAAGCTGCAGCTGACATTAAGTCTCAGCTAGGCCTCAGTTTCTATTTTCCCAAAGCAAGACTTGCAGTTTCTGGTCAACTCCCAGTTGAGTAATTTGCTAAGACAAGGAATTGGGCAGTTGGGCCTGGCCGGTCATGAGGGGTCACTGTCCCCTCCTTAGAAACTGTTACTAACCATTGCCTAACTGACCACCATTGTGATAGGACCGATGCTAAAAATAGACCAGAATATAAACTGCTTCTTAACTCTGAACCCTATAGAAACTGCTTGTGAGTTGGAGTCAGGGGTCCTTGTCAAGACTCCACTGCGTTGGGTGTGACTTGGACCCTAGCTCGAGCTAGCAAAAAAGTTCCTTTGCTTTTGCATGATCGTGTGTGGACTTAGTTTCTCCACTATTGGGGATCTGAAACTCAGGCACAACGGTGGGGCCCGAGGGCTAGGACAGCAGGCAGGGTGCTGGCCCTACACACGGCTGACCCAGGTTCAATCCCCCAAGCCCAGCAAGGAGCAATTCCTGAACACAGGGCCAAGGGGAAGCTCTGGGCACCGATGGATGGGGCGTGGCCCTCCAAACCCAAACCCAGACCAACCACCCAACCAACCAAGCCAAATGTGTGCTTGCTTGCTTGCTTGGCTGACACTCCTCTCTTTAAGTAGCTACCCAGAGCTCAGGAGCCCCAGTGGGAGGGGGGCAGAGCCAGCCCCGGCCCTGCCAAAGGCCCAGCACTCCACCCGCCCACATCTGGCCCCCGCCGCCGCTGCCAAGACTGATCTCAGAGAGGCCAGAGAGACCCCTGCAGCTGACCGGCCCAGCCCCAAAGCCTCCGATGCGAACCGCTACATTTGCGGGCATGCAACACTCCCCCGACCTCACAAAGTCACAGCCCAGGAGAAGCAAGGGCGTTAGCTGGGGACGTTGCAGAGAAGCCCACGGGAGTTCCTGGAGCGAAAACTGACACAGCAGGCCCAGCTCGTACTCGCTGCTCTGGAGAGCCTCACTGGGACCAGCACCACCATCAGGAGGTCGGTCATAAACAATAGGAAGTCAGAAATCAGTGTCAGCTGAGGGAGCAGGGGTGGGGGTCGGGGGTGGGGACAAAGCAGGGACACGGGTGCTGGCGCTGGGGCTGGAATATTGAATATCTGACACAACTGGATTATGTGAACAACTATGCAAACCAGGGTGTTTAAATAAAGTTTAAGAAAAACGTCAAAAAAAAAAAACCCAGCTGACACACAAACGAACCTCAAAACCAAGCAGCTGGCTGAAGAGATGCCTCTGGACTTTGCAATAGGCCATTTTCGCTGGGCTACTCCAGACGGGAGCAGGTGCTGTCCCTCCGCCTGCCCCCTAGGAATCCCAGTGGCCACCATCCTCCAGAACCCAACAAAAAGCCCCAACTCTGGGGCTGGCAGGTATGCGGGAGCACTGTCACTGTCACTGTCCTCCCGTTGTTCATCGATTTGCTCGAGCGGGCCCAGTAACATCTCTGTTGTGACACTTGTTACTGTGTTTGGCATATCGAATACGTCACGGGTAGCTTGCCAGGCTTTGCCGTGCGGGCTCGTTACTCTCGGTAGTTTGCTGGGCTCTCCGAGAGGGGCAGAGGAATTGAACTCAGGTTGGCCATGTTGGCTGCATGCAAGGCAGACGCCCTACCCGCTGTGCTATCGCTCCAGCCCAGGCGGGAGCAGTAATGGCAAATGCCAGGCCTCACAGGACAGGGGAGGAGCCAGCCCCTCTCCTGCCCCCTGCCCTGATGGGACTTTGAAATGACGCTCATGAACTGCCCCCCCCCGCCCCGGCAACTTATTAAGCTCCTACACGGCCATGATCCAGAGGCACACAAATGAATCTTGGAACCGAGCAGCAGGCTGCAGGGATCTCTCCAGACTGTGATTATTAAAATTTTAGAATTCCAGGACATCAGGTGTTATTCATAACAAGCCACACAAAACAAATCGCTGAGCACTGCCTTATCGGCAGGTCTGAGTGGTGGTGGGAAAATTCCAAATAATAATGGTGGGACTGGTGTCAAAATATTGAATGTGATCAAAGTAGGGAGAGAGTATGGGGAAAATTGTCTGCCACACAGGCAGGGGGAGGGCTGGGATGGGGTGGGGGGGGGATACTGGGGACATTGGTGGTGGAGAATATGCACTGGTGGGTGTTTGATCATCGAATGACCAAAACTCAAACATGAAAGCTTTGTAACTGTATATCTCCTGGTGATTCAATAAAATATAAAAAATAAAATAAAAAGAAATCTAAGACCTGAGACTCGGTTAGGGCCTCCTGCACTCTCATTCCCACTTTCTTCACCGCCTGGCCTCGCTGAGAAGGCCTACAGAGCCGGCCGGAAGTTTCTTTGAGCATTTTTCTTGAGCACTAAACTTTTTTTTTTTTAATTATCTGTCCTCTGATTCCAGAAACGGGATCTGGTCATTTTCTACTCCGGGACTGAATGCTCTGGTGTCAGAGGCCAAATTAGATAAACAAGAGTTGCTGCAGGCCTTAATTTTCCCAGCGGTTCCAACAATTTGGGAGGCATGGGGGTGGGGTGGAGGGGGGGCTGGGAACAAGTCTCACTGCTCTGGGCAGTTGTGGTCCCCGCTGAGAAAAAAAAAAAAAACTGGTGCGACACATCCGTCCGACCATCTCTGGGAACGTCAAGTATGTTTTCCCACAGAAAAGCAGCCCTGGTGGTGGGGGGTGGCCACCAGGGTCAGGCCACCAAAGCCTGTTTTATTCATCCCGGACATTGGGACAGAGCCCGGCCAGGGAGAGCCGTGAGCCCATGGGAACCAGTGAGCTGGGCTCGCTGGGGACCCCAGGGGTCCAGCCGCCACCTCCTCCGTGGCCATTTCCTCCAGATGGAGAGACCCAGTTCTTCCTCCCAAGGGGTGGGTGTCCGTGTGAGCCTCAACTCTGGGGCTTGGAGGAGGAAGTGGGGAGTGAGGAGAATGTGCTGGCAGTGTCTGGGGCAGGGGGACCCTGGGAGGTAGCGGAAGGCCCAAGGGGCACCTCTGGCTGGGGACGCAGCCGGGGCCGAGCTTGGAGGTGTTGACCGGGGCGGGGGTCAGTATCTGAATGGATGAAAGCCCCCCTGGATGAGGCATCTCCCGGCATCTAAAGAACCGCATCTCCTGATCCCCTACTCAGAGACCCCTGGGGTCTTCCTCTCTTTTCCGGGACCACTTACATTGGCGTCCGGGCGGAGTTTGATGAGAAAGCGTTTTCTCTTAAAGCTCAGCTTCCGTACCTTGGCCCAGTTGAAAGCATTGATCTTGGTGAAACCCTGGTGGGGATGAGCACAGGCCATGAGCCAGCAAAGTCGAGAGACAGACACAAGGAGAGGAGCTGGCCTTGCATGAGGCCCAGACCAGTTTCATTCCAGGCACCCCAAGGGTCCCACGAGCACCGCCAGGAGTGATCCCTGAGCTCAGAGTCAGGAGCCAGCTCCGAGCACCCCCAGGGGTGGGCCCCAAACCAAAAAACAAACGAGAAAGGTCATGTGACGGCGTCACCATGTGACGGCATCACCATGTGACGGCGTCACCATGTGACGGCGTCACCATGTGACGGCTGGGCTGCCTGGCTGGGCTGCCCTGCTGGGCGCAGGAGGGCTGGGGACCGTGTGTGTGATATGGTGAGCAAACCCTTGGCTGGAGAAAGCTCTGCGGCGAGAAGGCAGACTCTGGTTCCCAGCTCATTATTTCTCACTAATTACAGGATGGGGCCTGCCAACCAAGTCTGCCTCCAGGGAGAAGAGGCTTGGCCAAGAAAAGGTAGGAAGGAAAATAAAGAAAAATGGGGCTGGAGACATTGCACGGCAGGTAGAGCACTTGCCCTGCATGTGGCTGACCTGGGCTGGGTCTCCGGCACCCCATACGGTCCCCTGAGCCCTGCCAGGAGTGAGCGTAGAGCCAGGAATAAGCCTGATGGGTACAGCCCTCAAACAGACACAGAAAAAGAAAAACCATGACACCCTAATAATCATTAGTGAGCGACTCTTTTTTTCTTTTAAATCTTGCTTTTTGGGTCACGTCCGGCGATGCACACGGATTACTCCTGGCTCTGCACTCAGGAATTACTCCTGGTGGTGCTCAGGGGACATATGGGATGCCGGGGATTGAACCCAGGTCAGCTACATGCAAGGCAAACACCCTACCCGCTGTACTATAGCTCCGGCCCAAAGCAAACCACTTTTTTTTTTTTAACTTTTTAGGTCACACCTGGTGATGCACAGGGGTTACTCCTGGCTCTGCACTCAGGAGTTACTCCTGGCGGCGCTCAGGGGACCATATGGGATGCTGGGAATCGAACCCGGGTCATCCGCGTGCAAGGCAAACGCCCTATCTGCTGTGCTATTGCTCCAGCCCCAGTGAGCGACTCTTGACGGGGGGAGCAGGAGCTGTCCTGGGCCTGACATGTCTTGTGCCACCCCCCCCATGGTGTCTGGCGAGGGGGGTTTTTCATCCTCCTGGATGTGAGTGGCAAATGTGTCAGGATGGGCTCTAACTTGACCCCAAGCACATAGCCGCTGCGGGAGACTGAGACTCCCAGCAGATGACCGGGAGGTGCCAGTGCCAGCCGCCACACCCGGCTTGGCCCCGCCCTTTCTTCGCCCAGGCTGCTTTGGCTCCTGCGCCTGCCGTGTTTGCTGAGAACGGGCAGAGCCGCCAGTCCATGGGTGATGTCAGGCTAGAGGAGTGTGGTGGCAGGCAGGGTGGCGGGGGTAGGGAGGGAAGCCCCTGGCTTATCTTTGGTGGCCCACTGGGATGTGGAGGTGGAGAAGGACCTTCCCGTGCTCGCTTCCCCCAAGAGCCCGGCTCCTCCCGGCCGCTCGGCCCCTGGTCCCGTTGATCTCAGCTGGGAAGAAGGAAGCAATGAGGCAGGAGGGCCGACCCAGCAGCTGGGGTTCGTCCAGGAGTCAATGGCCCAGTGACTCTGTGTGCGGCCGACACAGTCAGAGCGAAGCCGTTCCATGGGAGGCAGGTTTGTTCTCCTTCCAACGACTTCAGAAAGATTGGAGGGTATTAGTTTGAAATTCAATGGAGCACCGAGAGCTGCTTTCACTCCACGGTCATTTTATCCTGTCGGCACTTCCCTAAGAACACGTATGCAGGTCAAAATTCTTAGGGGCTGTGGAGTGACCCCAAGGGGCAGGGGCAAGACTTGCGCTTAGGGGCCTGGGACGTGACACTGCATGGTTCCCCCCAGTAGGGGAGGGCCCCTTTGCACCAAACCTAGGTGGGACTAGCCCCCAGGCACCACTGAGTGTGGTACAAGAAAAAAGAAAAGCAAAAACCACTACCACCACCACCAAAAAAACCTCAAACGCTTAATAAATCTGTTTGGAGCCAGCAATCAGCTTCTCAAATATCACATCACCCCAATTCCCCTCCCTCCAGTTCCAGGTGAAAACCAGGTAGAACTCCTCCCGGGCTGAGTTCTGGGGGGCGGGTACAGGAGACTGTCTGCTTCCTGGGTGCAGCCATGCGGCTGTGGTGGGGCCGTGTCCGAGAATAGACTCGAAGTCCTGACCTCACATGAATGAGATGTCTGAGGTCACAAAGAAGCGAACTTCAGGGAAAACCCAAACTGGGTGAAAAGTGCCCCAAATTAAGTTTAAAAAAAAAAGGGAGGAGAGGGCTCACATAAATATCACAAGACAAGGTTGAGAAAAGGGCTTTTGGTGTATCTATTGGGGGTGGGATTCTCACATCTTGATTCCCTGTAGGGAATCCTACAAGAAACATTGATTTCTTTTCTCTTTTTTCTTTTTATTTTTTTCGCTTTTTGGGTCACACCCGGTGATGCTCAGGGGTTACTCCTGACTCTGCACTCAGGAATTACTCCTGGCAGTGCTCGGGGACCATACGGAATGCTGGGAATCGAACCCGAGTCTGCCACGTGCAAGGCAAATGCCCTACCAGCTGTGCTATCGCTCCAGCCCCGAGGCACTGATTTCACGGTGCCTACGGAGCCATAAATTACAGGCTGGGAGGCTGGGGAGATAGTGCAGGGGCTGAGGGGTTAACCCACGGTCAGCTGCAGCCACTGCTGGACACGGCCCAGAGCAAACCAAAACAAGGAAACTTCCAGAACCGGAGACACAGTCCAGGGTCAGGGATGCAGCCGGCATGTGGCCGACCTGGGTTCAATCCCTGGCATGGCACAGTCCCACCAGGAGTGGCTGATGGGTGCAGAGCCAGGATTACGCTGCAAACACTACTGGGGCCCCCGGCGCCCAAGAAACAAAGGCATGGGCCAGGATTGGGCTCCTTCACCGGGGCACATGCCTGGCTTGCTAAGACCCTTGAGTCTGATCCCCAAGCTCTGGGACGTGACTCCCACCATCACAGGAATCATTAACAACGCAAGCACCACTGCATCGGGGGACACGAAGAAACCAACAGCTGTGGCATCTCCAAGCAGACCATAGAAGGTGAGTGGCCCTTGTTTGGATGTTTAAGGGCCTCGAAGAGATGAGTTCCGAGTCCATGTCTCCCCGTCCTATTCACTGGAAATCCCCAGGTGGCGGAAGGCACCGAGGCCCCCAGAAAGGTCAGGCCGTATCTGGCATCAGCCGTGGGGCTCGTACCTGAAACACGAGGATGCCGGTATTGGCCACGGCCAGGTTGATCTTGGTCCCTTCCCGGTCCTTGGCCGGGTGCAGGCGGATCCCGTAGAGCTCCAGCCGGCGGGCAATCTCCAGGAGCTGGAAATCCGACTCCGCCGGGGTCTGTCCACTGGCAAAAACAAAAGTGACAGAGAAAGGCCGGGAGATTGGAATTCCCAGTGTCTACCAGGGCGAGATTAAGCAGCTTCTCTGGGGAGAGAAAAAGGCATTTCATGACGAACAACGGAGCTGCCCGATCAAGTAACAGCCCGCCTCCCGCATTCACTAGCACCCAAGCGGAGGCAGAGGGACAAAAGTGCTTTTGCTTCTGTAACACAAAACCCAGAAGTCTACCCCACACTTGCCCGTTTTTTTTGTGTGTGTTTTGTTTTGTTTTGTTTTGAATCTCCACTCGTTTCCTTTGAGGTCATAAATACATGCATTTGTGCTAAGACAAGGTTTTGGTCCCGTCAACACACCTACACTCGCAATTAGAGCCCAGGGCTCAAAGACCTTTTTGTTGTTGTTTGTGGGTCACACCTGGGGATACTCAGAGGTTACTCCTGACTTGGCACTCAGGCATCACTCCTGACAGTGCTATGGGATGCCGGGGATGGAACCAGGGTTGGTTGCATGCAAGGCAAGTGCCTCACCCACTGTACCATCCCTCTGGCTCCTCAAGTTTCTTCTTAAAATGCAGCAAAACCAAAGGCATGGAGAAGTTTCTGAATGCATTTTTTTTTGGGGGTGAGCCAGACAATACCCAGGGAGGTTGCAAAGAATATTCAGGTTTCTTGATATTTTTCGCCTCTGCTCTACCATGTCCTTGTCCCAGTGAAAAGGTCTGTGATTTTAAACATGGGTTGATTTTATTCCTAAAAATTCAGGCAGCTTCTCCTGGGTGCAGAAAATGGGACTCTGGTCTCGAGTGGGTAACTGGCATTTCAGGGACAGGCTAAACTTTGCTCCTTCCCCCAACCTTTGTACAATGCTCCCCGAGAGTGTGTCTGTATGTGTGTGCATAAGTGCACGTGTTATATGTGCACATGCCTGAGTATGTACATGTGCATGCCTGAGGGCATATCTGTCTGTGTATGTATGTGTGGGTATATGTGTCTGTGTACATATGCACACGAGTATATATTACGACTGTGAGAGTACAGGAGCATGTACATATTTTGTGCAAGCATGACGTGTGTGTCTGTGTACATGTGGTTTGTGTGTATATATGTCTCTGTGTGTGCACGGGCACACAGGGGCACTTACATGTGGTTATGGTGAAACTCCACGATTTTATCTTCCAGTGCATCCTGCTGAGGTATGTACTTATTTTTTGCTAAGTGTTCTCTGTCAGATGCTTCATCAAAATCCCCAATCTCAGCTACAAAGAAACAGAGAGAAAAACCAGCCGCATGTGATGAATTGCCACAATCTGCTCTATTCCCGGGGGGCCACTCCCCAGCCAGCAAACCGGAAACTGGCCGGCAACATACGGGGCCCCAGCTGGTGGGGCCGAGAGGTCAGAGGATGTGTGTGTGTGGGGGGGTGGATGGATTTGGTAACTGTGTCAACAAAATAGAACCGTTTATTATCCTCCCCTCCAACGGTTGGAAAGAACTTCCAGAACCATCCATCTTTAGCTCTTCATATTCCTGGCCTCTTTTTTCTTTCTTCTGACCCAGCAAGGGATCGTTTCTCTTCCAAGCTGAAAATTCACTTTGAAATTAGCTCTAGAGGGGCTGGAGTGATAATACAGCAGGTAGGGCGATTGCCTTGCACATGGCCGACCTGGGTTTGATTCCCAGCATCCCATATGGTTCCCTGAACAACGCCAGGAGTAATTCCTGAGTGCAGAGTCAGGAATAACCCCTGTGAATCGCCGGGCGTGACCCAAAATGAAAAAAGGAAAAAAAAATTAGCTCCAAAATCTTAGGACTTAATCAAACCAACCCCTGAAATTCTTCAGTTTTGTTTTTTGGCCACACCCGGTGATGCTCTGGGGAGCCTTTGGGATGCGGTGGGTCAAACCCTGGTTGCCCTCACACAAGGCAAGTGCCTTCCCTGCTGTGCAATCTCCCTGCGGCCCCATCCTCAAAATTCTTACATAATAAATTATTAGTGCAAAGCCCCCAGTGCTGTATCATTCAGAAGTGCTGGAGTGTGCGGCCAGCATGCTCAGGGCCCTGGTTCTAATCTGAGGCCCCACAGCCCTCCTGAGCATTTCTGATGTGCTGGACTGGCAACCACCAAAGCACAGGACCCAAGCACAGTGTCTGTGCACAGAGCTACAAAGACACAGCCCTTCTGGCTGAACACTTAAGTTCAGTACATTTTAATAGTCTAGTTGTAGGAAAGGTGTGTTCGGAATGATGCTCAGTAAGATTTCACCTAGAAGGAACAAGAAGCAGACCTGTATTAGGCCTCACTTAATTGCTACCACCTGGAAATCACAAGGACAAAGCTGTGACATCCAAACCACAGCTTCTGAAGCCAGCTCCGGCTTGGACGGTGCCAGTGGATGGGGAGGGCTTTCTCTGTCTGCCATTCCATCAGCGAGGCAGACTGAGAAGATGCGGGCCCAGGGGCTGAAGCCAATGGACAGCGAGGAGGGCGTTTGCTTTGCACGTGGTTGACCGGGGTTTGATCCCCAGCATCCCATAGGGTCCCTTGTGCATCACCAGGAGTAATTCTTGAGTGCAGGGCCAGGAGGAATCCCTGAGCATCGCTGGGTTTGACCCAAAAAGCATAATTTTTTTTTTTAAATCTGAAGATGGAGGTCCAGCTGCCCAAGGCAGCGAGGGGTTGCTAGGAAACCAAGCTGTCCTGTGTCACCTGAGGGCCCTCCACCATCCTGAGAAGCGGTTGGAAATCCTACCCTAGGAATATCATCAATTCGGCTGCTCCAAGCGGAACAGCTACTGGGCACCCAGCTCCCTGCCCCTAGGCCAGATCTCTTACCTCCCAACAGCCTTCCCTGGGAAGATTTCTCCCTCCCTAGCCGGGATGAAGCTGCCAGCCTATACGGCAGGGACAAGCTCCCCATGCGGCTTTGTAACCCCGCGCTGTCAGTGTCAGTGGCAGGGACTTGACCTAATTCCCTCTTCTCTCGGGACTCCAGAAGGAGCCTGTGGACGGCCAGAGAAGCTGGTTTCTATGAAGCTCCGGTAAGAGCAAAAAATCTGCCCCCCTTGGCAGTACTTCCCGGGGACGCTGGCTTCTTCTGCTTGGTTCTGTCGGAAGGCAGCGTGTTTTAGGGTATCTGTGATGCGCCAGCACCAGACTCTCAACTCTGAGCCCTGGACTCACGCCCGAATGAAGCTTATCTGAGCGTCCACCCTGCAAGGCCCAGTCCCGTGCGTGGGGATGCCAGTGGGCACTCCACAAGGGGCCATGGGGACAGATCAGGCACAGAATGCACAGAAGCGCAGAGAGCGTGAGAGGGACCCTCGTTTGGAGACAGAGACTGGTCAGAAGGTGAGGTGTGGAAGAAGAAATGCAAATGGCCAAAAGGCACATGAAAAAAAAATACAGCAATAAACGCCAGGGAGATGCAAATCCAAATAAGGAGATATCAGCTCATGCCACAGAGACTGGCACACATTCAAAAGCACAAGAACAACCAGTGCTTGCATGGATGTGGGGAGAAAGGGACTCTCATTCACTGCTGGTGGGGATGCCTACCGGTCCAGCCTTTTGGGAAAACAATATGGACATTCCTGATAAGACTAGGAATTGAGCTTCCGTATGACCCAGCAAAACTGCTCCTGGAAATACACCCTAGTGGACCAAAAACCACAAGGCAGAAAAGCCATCTGCACTTCTATGTTCTTTGTGGATTGATTCACAGTAGCCAGAATCTGGAAACAACCCAAGTGCAGGAGAACTGTATGAGTGGATAAAGAAAGGACGGTACCTCTACACAATGTAACCCTTGGGAAAAATGAAGTCACGAAACTGGCTTATACATGGATGGATATGGAGAGTATCATAGGAGTGAAAAGAGTCAGAGGGAGAGGGACAGACATAGCATGACCGCACTCATTGGCAGGATATAAAAGAAACAGATAGTATGAGAAGACCCAAAGACAGTAGAAACGAGGGCCAGGAGGAGTGGTCCATGGAAGGAAGCTTGCTACAAGTTGGGGGTCTGTGGGAGGGGGGTAGGGAGGGCAGGTAGGACAGAGAAGGGACCACTATGACAATGATAGCTTGAAATGATCGTTCTGGATAAGAACTGAGTTCTGCGAGGAGGTAAGTGATGTGCACGGTAACCTTTAGTTACTAGTTACTAAAGTAACTGTAGTGACATGGTAGTGACACGGTAACTGTCACTAGTTACTAGTGACAGTAGTGCAAACCACAATACCTAAAAGGAGAGAGAGAGAGAGAGAGAGAGGAGAGAGGAGAAAGAAGAGTAGGAGGGAGGGGAGGAGAGAAGGAGAGAAGGAGGAGGAGGAGGAGGAGGAGGAGGAGGAGGAAGAGGAGGAGGAGGAGGAGGAGGAGGAGCATTTGCCATAGAGGCAGGAAGGAGGGGTTGGTGGGAGGGAAATTGGGGACACGGGTGGAGGGAAATGTGCACAGGTGAAGGAACGGGTGCTGGAGCACTGTATGACTGAAACCCAATGACGGCACAACTTTGTAACTGTGTATCTCAGTAACTGTGATTCTGTGGAGTGTGTCTGCGGAGCTCAGCTGGGAATCTTTGTGGGGTAACTTGGACCGGGCAGTGGGGAGGGGGCGCAGGGTCTTACTGAGGAGACTGGTTTGGAAACACGGAATTCCCCAGTCAAGATCTCCCTCCTGAAAGCTTACACTTGGGGCTTTTTGGATGGATTTGAGAAGACTTTGTGTTTTTTCCATAATTCGATGTAAGGGTTACAAACTTCAGGTCTCCTTTTGTGAACAGGGTCGCAGGCTCCTTTCTCTTTAGCAGACACTCGCATTTTTTTAAGAAATTAAATCATCTTGAGATACAGTTACAAAACCTTCCTGTTTGTTTCAGAACACCCATCCCTCCACCAGTGCGGATCTTCCACCATCAACGTCCCCAGTATTACCCCCACCCCTTTCCAAACCTCCCTCTGCATCTATGGCAGACAATTTCCCCCATACTCTCTACCTTTGGGCATGATGGTTTTCCACTTGCCTTTCTTCACTCCCCTAAAACAGCAACACAATGTGGGGGTTCACTGGCTCCCCACCTGCTTTCCTCTCTGAAATACAGAAAATGGGCTCGGACGTGTGTCCGCAGAGCCTGAGAACCAAGTAATGTTCAAGATGTCAACTCAGGCTCTAAACTACTCTGAGGCCCAGATGGCATTATTCGCTCGAGGACATACTAACTCTCTTAAGAATCTTTTCACTGGGGGGTCAGGGAGGTGGACAGAGGGAATACCCATTTCCCTAAACCCTGTATTTTGCCAAATGAAATCTTCTGAGAATATCCTTGGAAAACCTATTTGGCTGTGTGTGATCCTGAGATGGGGGTCTCACACACACACACACACACACACACACACACACACACACACACACAGCAGAAATGCTATGTCCAGGGACCAGAAGACATAGTACAGGGATTAAGGCACTTGTCCTGCATGAGGCTGATCCTGGTTCAATCCTTAGTACCTTAGTACTACCTATGGTTCCCTGAGCACAGCCAGTGGTGATGTCTGAGTACAGAGCCAGGAGCCAGCCCTGAACACTGCTAGGTCTGGCCCCAACAAAACAAAAAGGAAACGTTAACTCTGATGGGCTATTTTTGGAGGGAGGGGTCTGGGGCACACCTGGAGGTGCGCAGGACTTGTCCTGGTTCTGCCCTCAGGGGAGGGGGGGTGTCAGTCATGGCAGTGCTAAGGGCACTATACTGATGGAACCAGGGTCAGCTGCATGCAAGGCAAACTTGGTACCCCTGTACCATCTCCCCGGCCCTCCACTGGGGTTTCTTTACAGCAAGGTTAATGACGGAATGGCATTATTTATGAACACAGTGCTGGAACTAAGCTAAGGTTTAATAAAGGTGTCTTCTAATTTGCTTTCTCTTTCTTTCATACTCAGTGGGTGTTCAGAGTTTACTCCTGGCTCTGCACTCAGGGATCATTCCTGACAGTGCTCTAGGGACCATATGGGGTATCATGGGTCTGACCCAGGTCAGTTGTGAGCACAAGTGCCTTACCCTCTGTACTACTGATTTATTTATTTAGGCTTTTGGGCCACACCTAGCAGTGCTCAGGGCTCTTGGCTCAGGGATCACTTCTGGAGGAGCTCAGGTGACCATATGTGGTGCCGGGCATTGAACCCAGACTGGCCACTTGCAGCCTACTACCTACTGTACTATTTCTCTGCCCCCTCGCCTTTTTTTTTTCTTTCACATGTTTTCTTTACTTTACTTTTTTATTTTAAATTGATTTTTATTTGGTTTTGGGGCTATAGCCAGTAGTGCTCAGGGCTTACTCCTGGTTATGCTCAGGGATCACTTCTGGTGGGTTCAGGGGACCATATGGGGTGCCGGGAATAGAGCCCAGGTCGGCTGAATGCAAGGCAAGTGCTCTCCCCGCTGTGCTATCTCTGCGGCACCCACACGTTTTCACACAGTTCAGAGTTCCTCTGTCGATGAGGTCTGGTGGTCCTTCAACAATGCTCAGAGCCCAAAAGAGAAAAATGAAACAAGCGATAAGCCCTGTTAATGGAACACACACACACACACACACACACACACACACACACACACACACTTTTTTTTTGGGTCACACCCGGCGATGCACAGGATTTATGCCTGGCTCTGCACTCAGGAATTATTCCTTGGTGGTGCTCAGAGGACCATATGGGATGCTGGGAATCGAACACGGGTAGGTTGCGTGCAAGGAAAACACCCTACCCGCTGTGCTATCGCTTCAGCCCCAGAACACATTTTATCATATCAGAGGGTGGAAACTTGGCAACTACTCCGAGTGACATTTCCTAGAAACCTCTGGAGACCTTGGTGGCCACGGGGGATGGAGATTCACATTCTACTTCTTCATATACAAAGCAGATTCTAAAGGGATAGGACTATTAGATCTTTTAGACTCACACACAGGGTGAACGGGGTCTACACGGCCCTCCTACAATTCCTCTCCTGAAAGTTCTGGTGGGTGACTTCAATTCTGAATCCCTGTTGCCTTAGCAGGGAGGACAGGAAGCCTGGGGGCTGTCCATGAGTCTGGCCTGAGGACCCTCACCACCTAATTTACCTGCCACCCAGAGGAAGCCAGTCAAGGGTCTCGTTTCAAAGACCACTGGGATCCGAGTCTGCCTCACAGAGGGAGGAGAGGCAATGATGTTCTGGACAGTGGTACAGGGCGGAGAAGGGGCCACAGATGGGAAGGAAATGGAATCTCAGGGCCAGCCAGAACAAGAGCAGCTGCTTGGCCGAAGCCAATGACCGGTCCCCCGAGGGCTGGGTGGCACCAGGCACGGGACATGGGGTGAAGGTCGGGAGACAGACACAGTGGTGCCCATGGTCTGTTACCTGCTGGGGTGTTTGGTGGGGGGGAGACAAGGCATCATTCCTGTCCTCCGACCACACAGTGGTCCATCCGGCCTGAATCCCGGAGGACTGCGGTGACACTTACTTACACTGCACGATGTGTGGGATGAGGAGGGCGATGGGGACACTTACACTGCATGATGTGTGGGATGAGGAGGGTCGTGGGGACACTTACACTGCACGATGTGTGAGATGAGGAGGGCCGCGCTGGTGTCGCTGCAGGTCAGCCGGCCTTGGGCCAGGTCCTGCTTCACCTGCAGAGCAAACAGGTACCTGCGGAGACAGACGAGGGGACGGGCGTCACGCATGGAGGGCGGGGAGGGGGGAGTTTGGGCCACCTGGGCCAGGGGGTGGGGAGACACCTGGGGCTCTGAGCCTGCACAGATGCAGGGCATGCAGGGGGCTGCTGCCTGCAGGGTCCACGTGCGTGCCCACTACAGCCCCCACTTCCTGCCCCCATGTAACACAGATATAGGTCTCTGGAGACGGCGTTTGCATTTCAAGACTAAACCTCACCACCTGATACGTTTTTTTTTTATTATTTATTTATTTATTTGCTTTTTGGGTCACACCCAGCGATGCACAGGGGTCATTCCTGGCTCTGCCTCAGGAATTACTCTTGGTGGTACTCGGGGGACCATATGGGATGCTGGGAATCGAACCTGGATCAGCCGGGTCGAAGGCAAATGCCCTACCCGCTGTGCTATCACTCCAGCCCCACCACCTGATACGTTTTAGTATTAAAAAATATATATATTTTTGAGGCCACACCCAGAGGTGCTCAGGGATGACTCCTGGTTCTTCACTCAGGGATCACTCCTGGTGGGGCTCAGGGGACCCTAAGGGGCGCCGGGGGTTGAACCTGGATGGGTGGCACGTAAGGCAAATGCCCCAGTCGCTGTACAATCTCTCCCCACCCCACCCAGAGAAATGTTTTATTTATTTATTTATTTATTTATTTATTTATTTTAATTTGAGGGACTTTGGGGCCACATCTGGCAGTGCTCAGGGCTACTCCTGGATCCAGGTTTGATCCTGGCCTGCCACCTGTAAAACACACGCTCGGGTCTGCCGTGTTCTCTCTCCCGGCCCACCCCATAGAACAGTACAGGGTGGAGAGAACATGCAACCTTTGTGCACAGATCTGTCACGAAAGTGTCCACAGTGGCTCTGAGTCTAGACTGGAAGAGATGGTTTGGAGGTGCTTTCCCCATGGGCTAAGAGGATGAGGGCCAGCCCTCGGGGTGTGTGTGTGTGTGTGTGTGTGTGTGTGTGTGTGTGTGTGTGTGTGTGTATGTGTGTGAAATTAGTTTCTCCCATAAGCCGCAGTAACCAAGCTGGAAGGAACCCATCCGGGGAAGGATGCTTTCCAGCGTTAAGAAAGTCAAAGGGAAGATTCGGGGTCCAAGTGAGAAGCACTGTTTGCAAATTTGCAAATGAAGAGAGAATGAGGTCAGGACAGTGCGATGCAGACTCTGACCTGGAAAGTCAGCAGGGACTCAGGCAGGCTGAGGAGGACACTGAGCACCCACAGAAGCACCTCACAGGAAGCAGGTTTGGGTCCAGGGGCCCACTGGACGGTCATGGAGGCAGTGGGAGAAAGTGGGTGGCCGAGGTGAGGTGGGAAGGGAGCCTCTGAGAAGGCATGGGATCCGTCCAAGGAGAGAGAGAGAGCCTGAAGGGCGCCCGGCTGCTGGGGGCTGGGGGCAGGCACAGGAGGATGGATGGAGAGAGAGCTCAGGCCGGGAGCGAATCAAACCCACGTGCCCACCCCCGCCTTCAGAAAGGAAAGAGCCAGAGGAACGAAAAGCAGAGCCCCGCGAGGGGGCAATCAGCACCATCCATTATCCCAAACCTGGAAACACAAAGTGAAAAATCAGGCCTGTCATCTGCTTTCCCAGCAGGAAGGGTCATTTGCAGAAAAACGGCAGCTGAGAAGGAAGGGAACAGCAGAGGGAGGGAAATCCCGGCTCCACGATCCACACCGAAGGCTCTCGTCTCTGGCAAGAGTCATGCAGGCACGCGTGGGTGCATTTGGATGGAGACAGAACAACAAACTTGCCTTGCCACGGGGCGGGGGACGGGAATGTGAGTGGCGGCCTCATTCATTCGGTCCAGCATCAGAACCAGAGCGCACCTGCGGAGCCTGCACGCATGGATGTATTTGGATGGAGACAAAGTAATGGGACATGCCTCATTCATTCCGTCCCAGCATCAGGACCACAACGGCGCCTGGAGAACTGGCGTCTAATGCTCGGAAAGGCAAGGATGGATGGAACTCAGCTGTACCACAGAGAAGCAATGAGGTGAACTCAGGAGTCAGGTTATTTTGGGGGCAAGGGGGAGAGTCTGGGCCATACACAGGGGTGGTCAGGGGCGACTCCTGGAGTCAGCTGTGTGCAACGCCAGCTCCTTCACTGTACTCTCTCTTTCTCTCTCTCTCTCTCTCTCTCTCTCTCTCTGAGCAGGAGTTAAGAGGATTTTATCTACACGTGCTTTAGTCTTTTCAACAAGATGGTGTAACGAGAGGAATTCTGCTCTATCTAAGGGGCTTTTGAAACTAGCAAAACATAGACTTCAAGAAAACCCCACAGAACACATGATTTCTTCCAAAAAAATAACTTGTAAAGGATATTAAAATAAACCTAGAAAGGCCACTCATAGGAGCAGGAGCGACAGTTCAGCAGGGAGGGCGTTTGCCTTGATACAGCTGACCTGGGTACCGTGCCATCCCCGGCATCCCCGATGGTTCCCTGAGCATCGGCAGGAGTAATTCCTGAGTGCAGAGCCAGGAGAACCCCCTGGGCACCTCCAGGAGTGGCCCCCCAACAAAAACAAACAAAAAAGAAAAGCCACAAGAAAGAGATTTAGGAGACAAGACTATCAGGGAGTTGAGATGAAGGGATTTTATTTTGAGACTGATTCAAACCAACCAACTGTGGGTGTCTGGCGGGGAGCCTCAACATACACGATACGAAACCTTTCTGTGACCCTGGGGGAAAAAGCAAAGGTTCCCAAAGGTGTAACCCACAGAAGCAACGTGTGGTTTTGCTGTGAGCCCCCCTTTAGCATGCAGACCTGACGTCTGAGGACAAACGGGGGGCTGGAGAATGGCGGGAATCCCAGATGCGATGGGAAGGGGGTGTCTGGGCGTACGTGGGTGGGGGCTGGATTGTCTTTGGGACTCTGGTGGCAGGAAACAGGGCTCTCTGGAGCTGGAATGGCGTCTGCGTGGAAGCCATGGTGAGCCATACTCTAAATCCTGGTTAACCCAATGAACATGGTTTTGAAAATAAAAATAAGCAATAAAAAAAAAGTGTGAAACTGAAAGGTACCCTTGGAAGTCTGAAGAATGAGAGACAGGTCAGTGGCTCAGACGCCACGAAAGCCCGGGGCTGTTTCTGTCTTGCTCTCATCCACATGCCCCCCACCCCAAGCACTGTTCACAGAGCACTACCCCAGAGCACTGTCCACAGAGCACTGCCCAAAGATTTTCTCCCAGCACCTTCCTCCCATGCTTATCTCCTGCACAAAAGTTGCTTGGGATCTCGAAAGCGTGAAGTAGCTAATGCAGTTTCTAGAACTCTCAATGGGTGAATCTTTTCCTTGGAAAACCACCCACCCAACTGCCTGTGTCAGAAGTCTGAGCGTCCGGCCTGTCAGAACCTATGGCAAAGCCCCCGCTTGACAAACGTGGGGCCTCGAGTCTGACCCCTGGCACCGGCCCACACAGGCCGAGCAAGGTCCCACGGCCTCCCTGGGTGCTCCTCAGAGTGTGCCTCTCTGAGTATGGCCCCCCAGCTGTGTGTGTGTGTGTGTGTGTGTGTGTATATGTGTATGAGCACTGCATCCAGGAGTATCACCCCCAGCAGGCACTGCTACTGAAACATGTGATCACTGCGGGGGGGCGTGGAGGGCCGACCCAGTTCCACCTCGACACCCCAGACAATGCCTACATGTGGATCTGGACACCGCCAGGAGTGAGCCTGAGCACTGAGCCAGGAGCAACCCCAAGACCCACCGAGTGGTCCAAACTGCCCTCTGGAAAGGAAGAAATGGCAGAACAGCCCTTCTGTGTCCCCTCCACTGCCTCACCCCAGGATGAGAACAGACGCCGACCCTACTACAGCACAGGACCCTCTACCTCCGCCCCCAATCCCCAAATTTCTTCTCCTACCACTTCCGGCCGGCTGCCCTCTGGGCCGCGTTCGTCCACCCTGGACTCCCTGTGGCCATCTGTCCATCCCTCGGGATCCACGCAGAGTGGCCTCGCCTCACCCTCCTCCAGGCTCTCTCCATGTGACTTTGCCTGGGTTCTTGAACAGAGGGCACTGGAGGGCATTGACAAGCTGCTACCCCAGATCTGACTTTGGCAAAAGGTTAGATTTTTTTTTTTTTGGTGGGAGGGCCACACCTGGCGATGCTCAGAGGTTACTCCTAGCTCTGTGCTCGGGAATGACTCTTGGAGGTGCTCGGGGGATCATATAGAATGCTGGCACAGAACCCGGGTCGGCCGTGTGCAAGGCATGTGCTGTACTAGTGCTCTGGCTCTGTGGCAAAAGGTTAGATTCATTGAAGAGAGATGTCCCTAATGAGGCAGGAAGGTGTCACGGCAGAGAGAGATCTGCGCAGGTAAGCAGCACCCTTTTGGGTGCTCTTCCCCTTAGAGGGATGTGCCTCGGCTTGCTCTGCCATTTCTGCCTGGCAGCCTCGCCAGAGGACTCCCCCTCTGCTTTCTGGCCAATCCCGTCCGCAAAGGCTTCCTTAAAGGTGTCCCCAGGGTCTGGAGCGATAGCATAGCGAGCGTGTAGGTCATTTGCTTTGCACACGGCCGACCTGGAATCAATTCCCAGTCCTATAGGGTCCCCTGAGCACCATCAGGAGTAATTCCTGAGTGCAGAGCTAGGAGTAACCCCTGAGCATTGCTGGTTGTGACCCAAAAAGCCAAAAAAAAAAAAAAAGGTGGCCCCCAGGCCAGCGGGTCAGCAAACAGCATGGCTGGGTTTCCCACGATGTGCGCGGGGGATGACCAGGTGAGGAATATGTTTCCCTTCATTTCTCTAGGCCTGTGTGAGAGCCTCTGAGGGAGCCGGGGGCCCAGAGAAGACTGCTGGGGCATACCACGCTGGAAACGGCACAAGAGCCGAGAGCAAACCCTCGGCATGTGTCACGCCCTGGGTCCCACCCCCAGCATCCCCCAGCTGTCTCCTCTGACCACATTGCAGCCCGGTCCCCCCAGAACTACGTGCAGCCTAAGACCTGTCCTTCGCTACCCCTGCCAGGATGGTTCCCCTAAGAATCAGAATTTCCCTTCCCACCGCCTCTTCCCAGTGCCCAGAGAACCATGCTCACACACTCCCTCCTGCTGAGGGGCTGCTTTTATTTTATTTATTTATTTATTTATTTTTGCTTTTTGGGTCACACCCGGCGATGCACAGAGGTTCCTCCTGGCTCTGCACTCATGAATCACTCCTGGCGGTGCTCAGGGGACCATATGGGATGCTGGGAATCGAACCTGGGTTGGCCGCGTGCAAGGCAAACGTCCTACCCGCTGTGCTATTGCTCCAGCCCCGGGGGCTGCTTTTAAATCCCCAGGAAAAGACTGAGAGGGATGAGCAAGATGGGAGGGCCCAGGTCACTAGGGCAGTGGGGAAGGCACTTGCCTCCGATCTGGACTTGATCCCTGGCACCTCACATGGGTCCCCGAGCACCACCCGGAGCGATTCCTGATCAGCACCCTGAGTTGGGAGCGGCCCAAAATAAAAAGAAAAAGCTCAAGAGGGACTGACAGTAACAGTGGGGAAGGCGCTGGCATGTAGTCGACCTGGGTTCCATCCCCAGAATCCCATATGGTCCCCTGAGCACTGCCAAGAGTTAATTCCTGAGTGCAGAGCCAGGAGTTAAGTCCTGAGCACTGCCGGGCATGACACCCAATTCCTCTATCCCCCCAGACCCCCTCATAAACGCTCAAGAGAGTGAGGGAAGGCTTGAATTGGGAGAACCTGGCTAATTGATACACATCCTCAGGGGAGACTCATGGAAGGAGGATTTTCTGGGTCAAAAAGACAGAAAATGATGCATAAGGGTGAAGGTGGGAGGAAAGGGGGCTCGGGTTCATAGCCAGGGGGAAAGGGGACTTGTGTGCAGATGTTACAAAAATCAGGTACAGAGATTCCCTAAGAAAATGAAAATAGGGGAGCAATTGGAGACAGAGCACAGGGTCAAGGCACAGGGCTTCCCTGCAAGCAACCCCATCTGACCCCTGGCAGAACATGTTACCACGGGAGTGACCACCAGCACAGAGGTGGAAGTGACCACTAGCACAGAGCCTGTAGTGACCACCAGCACACAGCTGGTCATGACAACCAGTACAGAGTCGAGAGTGACTACCAGTACAGAGCTGGGAGTGACCACCAGCACAGAGCCGGGAGTGACCACCAGCACACAGCCGGTCATGACAACCAGTACAGAGCCGAGAGTGACTACCAGTACAGAGCCATGAGTGACCACAGTACAGAGCCGGGAGTGACCACCAGCACAGAGCCGGGAGTGACCACAGCACAGAGCTGGGAGTGACCACTAGCACAGAGGCAGGAGCAGCTCTGTGTGGTTCAAGCTCCTTTCTCAAATAAAAACAGAGGCCGGAGGTTTGGGCTGGCAGGCCAGTGTAGTCTCCAGCTATTACCTGGCCCCACCCAAACTAGATAATAACAATTTCATGTGACCTGCCTGTAATACTTGCAGGCATTGATTCAAAGGACACGAAAATGTTCATTCGAAAGAACATTTGCAACCCCTGGATATTTATGTTCACTGCAGCACTGTTCACGATCACCCCATGTCCCATGAGCAAACGCCCATCATCAGCAGCCAGAGAGACGGGACAGAGACTGGGTTCAACATTTGACGGCGACCTGGCCTAGAATGTATCTGAGGCAAGGCTTAATTTCTGGCACCACGAGGCTCCCTGAGCATCGCTGGGTGGAGCCCCAGTGAACGCCACCACGTCCAGGTGTGTCTATGAGGCCCCCAGCACCGCTGGGCTGACCTGGGGACCCCTGCCCCTCAGGGACTAGGCGGCGTCAGATGTTCAGGGCCCTGAGCTGGACCGCCAGGTCAGTTAGCTGAGAATCCCCATGGGAGCCCCAGCACCCCGAGAGGATGAAACCACACCTTTGGGGACTGCTTCTGAAGGAGAGTGTAGGAACAAGGACGTGAAACACGGTTACAGGCTGGCTTCACTTAAGTGTAGAATATGAATAAATCAAGGGGCAAACACACAACAGAAACCAACACCAACCCCTCACCCCATGTGGTGAAGATGATGGGGGTGAGCGGAAGGAGAGGGTGGCAGCAATGAAGGGGGCCTTTGGGAGGGGGTAGAGACGTTAAGACACAGAACGCTAAATGAAACTAGACCCCTGGAGTGTCATTAATAGCAGAAACCAGTGACAAATCAAGGGGAAAGTAAATTGATTAAAAAGAGAGACTTTTAGGGCCAGAGCGATAGTACAGCGGGGAGGGCGCTTGCATTGGACATGGCCAACCTGGGTTTGATTCTCAGCATCCCATATGATCCCTCAAGCCGTGTCAGGACTGATCCCTGAGCATAGAGCCAGGAGTAATCCCTTAGCACCTCTGGAGGTGGCTCCCAAAAGAGACCTTTTATCTTTCATGGTCTGCGAGGAGTGGGGCAGTGTTGGCCTGGTCACCGGTGACAGAAGCAGCAACAGTGATGACGACAATTGGGAGTGGCCAGGTCGCTTCCAAGCACCAAGTGGGCCCTCGGAAGCACCCGCGCAGCCCAGCTTTGTGGCCACGGGGACACAGGAGAATGAAGAGAGTGAAGAGGATGGACACCGCCGGCCGCCACCCAGCTCCCTAGGGCAGGGTTGACCCGATGCTCAGGTCTGCACTGCGTGGCCACACTTTCAAAGATGACAGTCCTAGCCACCCAGGGCCAGAACGAAGACAGACCCTGAGTTTTCTGGATTTCACAGCAGAGCGTTGAGTCCCCACCATGTCTGGGAGTGCGGCTGGGAGAAGGGTGTGGGGGGACACAGGGCAGAAATGGCCAAGAAGCCTGGTTGGTCTCACAAGACGACAGCTCAGAGCAACCAGGCTCTCGGGGGAAGTGTGTGACTCTTCCTGCCACCACAGCTCTGGCTAAACCACACACAGGGCTCAGCTGTCCCCAGACAGAGGCCCAGACAGACGCCGGTCCAGCAACCCGGGTGAAATGTTTAACCGGCTGACTTCGAACATTAACCTTCGATTGTCCTTGCCGCCCCAGAGTCAGAGAGACCCACTCTGCGAACCACTGACCTGGTGAGTTCTTCTTGGAGCTGTGTGTGGTCAGGTGGAAAGAATTTCACCACAAACTTAACAACCACGTGCTTCGGCCCTAAAAGAGAAAAAAAAAGGGGGGGAGGGGAAAAAGGTAGCACCTTTATTGACTGGGTTTTCAAATGCCAAGAAAGATGAAGACTTTCCAGGGAAGTATTGGACACGCAATATTTACCCAATCCCAACGGCCAAGAGCGGGCTTTCTGATGCCCAGGTCATGTGGGTCAGTCTGATTTACTCAGCCACACTTACTCCTAGCTCGGAAAATGACAATCTGTTTTCTAGCAAAACACTGTGACAAGGACTTTCTATGGAGGTTTGGAGCTCAGTCTTGAAAACCTAAATTAGATTTAGCTTGTTTTTTCTTTTGGGTTTGGGGGTCACGCGGGGCAATGCTCCAGGGCTACTCTTGGCTTTATGCTCGGGGGTCACTCCCAGCGGTGTTCAGGGAGAAGCCAGTGCTGGTACTGGAACCCGAGTCCCCTCCATGGGAAAGCCAGAGCTCAGCCCGGTCACAGCAAGTATTTATTAATTATTATTATTATTATTATTATTATTATTATTATTATGGGGCTGGAGTGATAGCACAGAAGGTAGGGCGTTTGCCTTGCAAGTGGCCACATGGCCAACCCGAGTTCGATTCCTCCGCCCCTCTCGGAGAGCCTGGCAAGCTACCGAGAGTATCTCGCATGCACGGCAGAGACTGGCAAGCTACCCGTGATGTAATCGATATGCCAAACACAGTAACAACTGCCACAATGGAGATGTTACTGGGCCTGCTCGAGCAAATCGATGAACAATGAGGACAGTGACAGTGACAGATTATTATTATTACTATTTGCTTTTTGGGTCACACCTGGTGATGCCCAGGGGTTACTCCTGGCTTTGCACTAAGGAATTACTCCTGGCAGTGCTCAGGGGACTCTATGGGATGCTAGGAATCGAACCCATGTCGGACACGTGCAAGGCAAACGCCCTACCCACTGTGTTATGGCTCCAGCCCAAACACAGCAAGTATCTAAAAAGACATTTGTCTTTAGACACTCGCTACTTGAGTCCTAATAGACAATCGCAGTAACTTGAGCTAATGAAGATGCGTTATGTGATTTATGAATTCTGAGTCTACAAGTCGGGCTTGTGACCGCCACCTACGGACAGAACACCACTGCTTCGAGGCTCCGCTCAGCGCTGAGAAGAGAACGGACACGTCCTGCTGTGTCTCCAGCCCAAGCCGAGTCAGGGGTTAGGAACCGTCCTGGGGAAAAGCTCTGGCAGGTGCTGGATAATGGATTCAGATCCCAGCGAACACCAGGAATGAGGACACTGCTCAGCACTGCCCGGTCTGGGAGCTTGAATCGAGCCGTTGTCCCGCCAGCCCTGCCACTGGGGAGTCCAGGCCTGAGCTGAAGACAGAACTCTCTGCAGGGGGGAGGGGGGTACGGGAGCTCTCGCAGAGCTCAGGGCTCCACACAGCATAAGGTGTCCAACAAGGACCCCTGAAATACCCCCCGCACCTGTCTCTGGCCCCACAGAGCTATCTTCCCAGCCCCTGTCATCTAAATTTCCATAGTAATTACAGAAGAGCCGAAAGTGGTGTACTGTGCTACCCTATCACAAAACAAAACAAAACAGAGGTTCGATCCCCATAAACAGCGCTGTTTATGTTTCCCCCAGAAGCGCCTGGAGTGATCCCTGAGCAGAGAGCCAGGAGTTAGCACGGAGTACTACCGGGTGTGACCCCAGAAGGAAACAAAAAGATGTGCTATTGTTTCTCGAATAACTCACTTAACGTAGAAAGAACCATCAGATGACGCTGAGGCAGAGGGTGTCAGAAACATGTCAGACCAATGCAGAAAGGTGGAAGCACACCAGGGCCCTGGCTGTGTTGAAACCCACACAGCTGGGCTCTCTGTTCTCAGACAGAATGACAGACAGACAGATAGACAGACAGACAGAAGTGCTGGGGGGGGGGGGGCAGGCCCTGGATCTCAAGCATCAGCGAAAAGGGAAGGTTTGGGGCGTGGTTCTCCCAGGACCTATCACCCGGGAAGCCTGAAGTCAGGCAGAGGCCGGCACTGGAAACTCCGTGAGGGCTGGGTCACCTGCACAGGGCTGGAGGGCGACTGACGGGCCCAGGGTGGTCGGAGGGAAGAGCGACTCGTGCTTCTCGCTCCCCTCCAGGGATGCAGCCCTGGTGGCCTCCCAATCCGGCTCGGGCTCTGGTGCAGGGATGCACCATCTGAATGACCTGAACAGAGCTGGACCTTTGGAGCGTGACCTCGGGGCAGAGAGAGGGGAGCAGGGTGCTGGGATGAGGGGCACAGGAAGGGTGAGGAAATCGCTTGTCTTCTCTCTTCTGGTTCCGGCCCCGCCCTGCCTCGGTTTTCTGTCTGAAGCCCTGGCTAAAGGCAAGACAGACTTGGCCCAGTGCTCTGGTCATTCAGAGAGAGAAGAGAGAGAGAGAGACAGAGACAGAGAGAGAGAGAGAGGAAGAGAGAGAGAACACATACAGACACACAGAGAGAACATACACACAGAACACACACACAGATAGAGAACACACAAAGAGCAAGAGCAAGAACACACAGACACAGAGAACACACACAAAGAAACACACATATGCATGTGTGTACGTGCGTGTGCACATACACAGAAACACGTGCATGTGTGTATGTGTGTGCATACATACACAGAGAGAACACATACACAGAGATACACATATGTGCATGTATGTACATGCGTGAGCGCGCGCACGCGCGCACACACACACACACACACACACACACACACACACACTTTCGGGACATCTTATTCTTCCAAACCACACCTGAATCCCGATCTCCAGGCTCCGAGGAGAACTGAAAATGTCACATCACTCTGATGCGTCAGTGTCCCTCCCCTCCCCTTCCGCAGCGAGAGCCAGCCAGAAACGCGAGTACAGCACCGAGGCTGACACTTAACCGCACGCCTCGCCTGGTGAACCCAGTGAGAAGCCAGGTTCTGACGACACAGCCGCTGGGTATTCCCATGGCTGAGGACGCGCCATAACGCTGCGGGTCCGTGACCGAGGAAAGCAGCCGCGTGTGAGAAGCTGCTTCCTGGGCGCAGGCCAGGTCTGAGCAAGCCAGGCTGTTCTGTCGTGAACCGTCCCCCGCCTCTGTGTGACGCCTGTGCCACACCTGTGAGCTTCCATACTTACTTCGGATCTGCTTGACGATGGGCTTCAGGAGGTCCAGCCACACCTGCAGAGGAGAGAGACGCAGACAGACATTCTCAATGAAACTGGAGCAGATGCTGAGACTCACTTTGGAGCCATTGAGAAGCAAAAGCGTCCGGCGCCTCCGACGATATCTGTATTCCCCCCTACCCAGCAGGCCTGTCTTGCATCTGCTCTCGCCCACCCCTCTGACAGAACAGCCCAGAGCCCAAGAACAGCACCTCTGAGCTACAGAATCACAATGGATTCAGACTTAACCTGGAGATCAGCCTCTCTTTCTCTGCCCACAGTGACCACAGCCGGTCAGCCCCAGGGGTCCCGCGGGGAGTGACGAAACCCACTGCACATCTGGGCAGGAAGGGGGGCGAGGAGCACTCAGTCACCTCTGCCGGACAAGGCCACACCTTCCCGGCATCACCCAACACAGAAACCTGAGGCCTCAGACACTCACAATTGACCCCCAGACCCAGGGTGGCAGGGACGGGGCCGGGCGGCCTGTCTAATGCCCAGTCCGCACTCGACACCTGCAAGCCTCTGAACTGGTGGGCTGGGTGGCGAAATGAAAGCGAGGGAGCTGGAGAGAGCCACAGGAGGGAGACTGGTAGAGCGAGAGGGGCGGGCAGGGAGGGCAGAGGGAGAGAGGGAGGAAGGGGGGAGGGAGAGAGGGAGAGGGTGGGAGAAAGAGGAAGAGAGGGAGAAATAGAAAAAGAGGGAGAGAGAGAGGAGAGAGGGAGAGGGAGGGTGAGTGAGAGGGAATATAAAAGGGAGGGAGAGACCGTAGTTTATTTTATTATTATTATTATTATTATTATTATTATTATCATCATCATCATCATCATTCGGGCTGGAGCAATAGCACAACAGTAGGGCGTTTGCCTTGCGTGCAGCCAGCCTGGTCGAGCCGGGTTTGATCCCTCCGCCCCTCTCGGAGAGCCCAGCAAGCTACCGAGAGTATCTCACCCGCACGGCAAAGCCTGGCAAGCTACCCATGACGTATTCAATATGCCAAACACAGTAACAAGAAGTCTCAAAATGGCGATGTTACTGGGTCCGCTCGAGCAAAATTGATGAACAACGGGAGGACAGTGTTTTTGTTTTGTATTATTATTATTATTATTATTATTATTATTATTGCTTTTTGGGTCACACCCGGTGATGCTCAGGGGTTACTCCTGGCTCTGCACCCAGAAATTACTCCTGGCAGTGCTTGGGCGACCATATGGGATGCTGGGAATCGAATCCGGGTCTGCTGCGTGCAAGGTAAACACCCTTTGCGCTATGTTATGGCTCCAGCCCCCATAGTGTATTTTAAACTCACTTACGGGGGTCTGTGAGTGAAAGGCACACACCCTAACCGCCAAGCTGCATCTCTGCAGCCTCCACACTTTTGTTTAAAAATCAGAACAGAACAAAAATGCGTTCACATCAACAGTCACACACACAGGCGTCGGCTAAATCATGGCAATCAGGAAATGACCCAGCATCCAGAATTTATTGGGGGTGGCGGGGGTGGTGGGGCGGAGGGGGCGTCCCTGCAGGCTGCTGACTCGAAAAAATTACTTTGGGGTTTTGCTTACAATCATTTCAATGCAGTTTTTTCCTATGAAGCTACAGGACTCGTCTCGCATCTGGTTCTCTTTAAAAGCTACCCGAAGTGCGGTTTTCTTTTAAAGAGACCCACGCATCTAATAGAGATTTCAAAATCTGGAGAAACTACAGGGGGAGAGGAGGCCCCATCCAGTGTTCTGCGTGCCACAGATGAACAGGGCAGAAGCCATGGATGGGGACATGGATGGCTGCATGCCGGTGAGGGCAGGGAGCAAGCCTGGCTTCTGTGATGGGTCCAGGCTGCAGTGCATGGAGGAGAGACCAGGAGGTTGATCAAGGGCGGGGCCAGGAGTGACGGCAAGCCGGGCTCTCCACCGGTCACTCTATAAAAGGGTCCCGAAACTTGTCCCACACGTGAGCCTGAACAGGAGAAGTTCTGTCAGAAGCTCTTATATATGGTAGTGGGCGTGGAGGAGAATGAAATGGGCATACAAGTCAAACACTGACAGATGACAAACCATACATTGCACCGGATTTGTATTTGACTGGATGAAGATCTGAGGCAGATGTCAGAATCAGTAGGAAGAGCTTTAGGACCAGGGTTAAAAGTGTGCAAAAGGAGGGGCTGGAGCGATAGCACTGCAGGTAGGGCATTTGCCTTGCACGCAGCCGACCCGGGTTTGATTCCCAGCATCTCATATGGTCCCCGAGCACTGCCAGGAGTGATTCCTGAATGCATGAGCCAGGAGTAACCCCTGTGCATCACTGGGTGTGACCCCCCCCCAAAAAAAAAGTGTGAAAAAGGAGCTGGAGCAATAGCACAGTGGGGAGGGTGTTGTTTGCCTTGCAAGTGGTTGACCCGGATTTGATTCCTGGCATCCCAGATGGTCTTCCGAGCACCACCAGGAGTAATTCCTGAGTGCATGAGCCAGGAGTAACACCTGGGCATCGCTGGGTGTAACCCAAAAAGTAAAAAAAAAGTGCAAAAGATGGATGTGTGAAAACTGTCCAGTTAGACATAATTTCGAAGCCACACACAGGCAGGACTGGGCAGTGCAGAAGGGAGACTGAGGCTGGAGAACTTGACGGGGCCTAAGGAACTTGCCTTGAATGCAGGCAACCCTGGTTTGGTCGCTGAGTAACACCAGGTATGGTCCCGGAAGACAGAGCTAGGAGTCAACTTTGCACACTGTAGGAATTCATCCCCCTAGTCAAAATCCCCCCCAAGGATGGGATATGCCCCTTGTTAAGATAGTTTTGATATTAGTTAGAATGCACAGGATTTGCAAATGCACATCCAGGAAAGAATAATACAGTAGAAAAGAACAGGTAACAAATATCTGCAGGCAGTAAAAATGCACCAGGAGAGCACAGAATTAGACTGTTAGGGTCTTTCAGATGTAGGGACATGGGCAAAAGTAGAATACAAAACTGTTCCATTTTTATATACAACAATTAATTTTTTTTTTTTTTTTGCTTTTTTGGGTCACACCCGTCAATGCTCAGGGGTTACTCCTGGCTCATGCACTCAGGAATTGCTCCTGGTGGTGCTCATGGGACCATATGGGATGCTGGGAATCAAACTTGTGTCAGCAGTTGGCTGCATGCAAGGCAAACTCCCTACCCACTGTGCTATCGCTCCAGCCCCAGAACAATTAATTTTTAAAGAATTTTTAAAATTTAATTTTTTTAAATTAGTGAATCACCCTGAGGTAATTACGAACTTCCATGCTTGCATTTCAGTCATACAATGATCGAGTACCCATCCCTCCGCCAGTGCCCATTCTCTACCACCAAGGGTCCCAGCATCCCTCCCACCACCCCCACCCCAACCCCCACCCCACCCTGCCTCTGTGGCAGGGCATTCCCTTTAGAACAATTTATTTTTTATAAAATATTTTATATTTTATAAAACATATTTATATTTATTATTTGCAGTTATATACTGGAATTATTTACAATTAATTGATAATTAAAATTATAGAATTATCTCTAAATAAATAATGTAATGTTTATAAATATTTTTATATTTTATTGTGTTTAAAATTTTATAAAATATAAGGATACTGGGATCCATGGTGGTGGGAAATGGGCACTGGTGGAGGGATGGGTCCTTGATCATTGTATGATTGAAACCCAAGCACAAAAATTTCTAAGTCTACCACTGTACCTCATGGTGTCTCACTAATAAAAATTTAAAAATATATATAAACTTTAGATTTTAGATTTCACGGTGCCTGCTGATGGCTATGTAAAACCCTCAGTCTCTGATCTTCATGTACCTACTGGATGTCCAGGTGCTCACAAACTGTCCTGCATGTCCCTCTCAATAGTGGCTCACCAGTTGGAAGTCCAGCGGGAGTGGGGGAGCAATACTGCACTGAAAAAATAAATGCCAGCCTCCGGGGCCAGGGAGGGCTGCCCAGGCAACCCTAAAGCTTAGACAGTTAATTGTGTGTTTGCCACACTCTGTGATGGACCATTGCTGGACAGGGGTGGAAGATGCTGATCTAACCAGCATCAGATGGCACGCAGCCAGGAGTGGCCCAAAGGACAGAATCACTAACGAACCGGAAGACCTACCCATCATGCAACCCAAAAGGCAACACTGGGAAGTTTTCCTAAAAACAGGGCAGCAGAGCAGAGTTCCAAGAGATTGGGGGAAAGGTGGCAAGGAAGGGCAGGCAGAAGAAGAGAAAGAGGAAGAAATAACAGCTCAGGTTTGCCCCAATTCAAAGATGACCACAAGCCCACAAATGCAAGAATCCCAAGCCAAAGATATGAGAAGGAACCGGAGGCAGCACGCCAACGTCTAGAGGAGTGAGATGAGTTGTACAAAGGAGCTAAGAGAAAGGTGATAGGGGACTTCTTGCATTTCAGAAACAATGCAGAGGGGGAAATGCGGTGGAGGGGGATTACCAGGGCCCTGTGAAGAAATAAAATTAATCTTAGAGTTTTATGCCCAGCAAAGATGTCTCTGCGTAGGGTCCCGGAGACCTGCCTGTCCACCCGGCCACTATAGTCACATGGAACCAGGTGGCACTGAGCATGTTGTCACCTCCGCTCTGCTGACCCTGGACTGACCCTGCCCACACTGCCATCCTTATCTTGAATGTCCTCCCCTAATGATGTGAAACAATGCCAGCCCGTGGTGTGAGCCACCGCGTCTACGGTATGGCTCTGTGAGTCCATGCTAAGACACTCTACCACAGAGACGAATAGAAACAAGTAAGAAGACACCCATCTTCTTTTTTGGACTTTGTGTTTACTTAGAGGAAGCCAGCACTCATTTACCTGGTTACTGAGCCAGAAATTGGTGAGTGAATCTAGCTGCTTTCTGAGCTGGTGTATCAGAATCAAAAACAGCAGGTGTCCGAATGTCTGCAAGGTGTGGGCGGGTCTGCTTGGATCCTTTGGCCATAGGGTATCTGAATGAATTCGCAGGCTAACTCAGTCACTTCCTGTCCCATTTCTCTA